TACCTACCTACCTACCTACCTACCCACCCACCCATCTATCTATCTACACACCCATCTATCTACCCATTGATCTACCCATCTATCTACCCACTTATCCATCTATCTACCCATCTACCCCCCTTTTCATTTTACCCTCTACCCCGTCCTTGCTTGCTTGCTTGTTTGGGAAGTTGATGAAATTTGTCTTTGGCCGTCATTAAGCAGCCGCCATCAACTGCCACTCTATTAGCTGCCACGCTTCCTTTACCAGCATATGGTGTGCCGGTGTAAGATATGACAAGATGCAAATGTGTTGTTGCTGTTGTGGAAGGAGGGCCTGGAAGGTTGTAAGAGTGGTGGATTTCTTAGATTGATGGCTATGCGTGCAAGAAAAAAAATGAAAGCAGGATTCCTTGAAGGAATGCATATTGCCTGCCGCCTTTCATGCTAAAGTTTTAAAATAAGATTTTGCAGTTAGTTCTCCGAATATGTGGTAGGAATGACTCTCAGTTGCTACCACATCTAATTTTAGCTGAGTATTTGTATAAATGTCAGACATAGAGCCATTTTTTTGCATTTCCCAACTTCACTTGCAGCTTTCTTGCATTGGGAATTGCTTGAGTTCAAAGTTAATCAGTTATGTGTAATTATTTTGTAAAAGTTTCATTAAAATCTGTCTGTAGTTTTTGAGATATTTTGCTAACAGACAGACAATTAATGATTAAGTTTTAAAGAAAACCCTGTGATCATCTGTTATTGTTTGTAACATGTTTGGTGATAACTCRTCTTTTATCCAACCAAATGAGTTATTGTCATTTATTTGTTTTGTTTTCTAAGGTCAATGAGCTGTATTGGCCATCTTGAATCGAAACAACTTCAAAGGTTTAACAGTTGTAGATGTACATAATAATCATTTCCTGAGAGTTTCGATAAAACACATCAAGTAATGTATGAGATGTTTTGCCAACAAACATACATACCAAACAAAAAAAATGATTTGGAAAAAAAGTGGAATTTAAAATATATATAATCTATCTACAACTCAAAAGTCCGTAGATGTACTTTGGTCTCTGGGGGGCCATGCAAATAGCCTCAGTGTGTGTCGCAGTGCAGGCGTGTGTGCCCAAGCTCATCGGGCCCTTAAAGCCCCCTCCACCTCTCTTCTTACCCCTCTCCTCCTTCTCCTCCTCTTCCCTTCCCTGTCTGGCTCTCTTCTCCCCGTCCAAGCTGTTAAGCTGTCCAGCTCTCCGCTGCCAAACGGCCGTGTGAAGCCCAGCCAAACTAAACACGAGCAGGCAGCCCGCCACTCGCCCCACACACACACACGCACACATCCACATACATGTTCGCACACACACACGGGCACGAGCTCTTGCGCACACATTAACGGCGGGAGTTAAGTCGTGTCCCAACCCACACAAATAGCGAAAGTGACGGCTACACCAGAGCGCCGCTAATAGCAGAGAAAAACCGACTGAATCAGTAAATGAGCCCCTCATTAACTTTTTCTGACCCTTTTTCCCCAGAGGAAAGCCAAACCAATCACAGCGCCAAATCAGCTTCCTGTACTAGACACTGATCCAACATCAGCTTTCGCTCATCTGTTCTCCTCAGTACAGCAGTGTGTGTGTGGATCTCCGAGTGCAGGGTTGTGTACAGTGAGGGAGTGAGTAAAGAAAATGTTCCTGAGCCTGTATCAGTGTCTGCATGTGTGTTTTACAATCCATAACAAAGAGTGGCTTTGAGGCAGTCAGCCATCTTAATAAGAACTTTTTTTTTTCATTCTTGATCACATAAAACTCTGGGCAAGCTTTATTTCCCCAGCTCTGTGTTGGCCCTCCAGGCTTTGAGTTTTGGGACCACTGTACCAACTTGACTCCACTTGCGGTAGCCGCTGATCATAAAGTAGATGCAGATGCCTCACAAGCAAACACAAGACTGCGGAAATACCTCTTCAGGGCAAGCCTGCGTTGAATTAGGCGAAACTCTACCAAGGCTCTCTGTTTTTTGTGRGTCAAAAGCAGGCTGACAGAGCCACGCCAGAATGACTGATAGATTCATTTGCCCTTATTAAGTCACACCATTTAAAGGGGTAATTTGTCAGTGAGTGACTCTCAGTTCTGAGTGTAGAGCCACAACAGATTATTTTACTATACATCTTACTACATCTGTGACSTTATGATTATTTAATGTGGATACTGTAAAAAAAATGCAGGAGTCTTTGTTGTTTACTCATCATCTCAGTCCCTTTTTGCATGTCGGCTTTTGAGTTTCTCTCTTTGTCTCTAACTCCCACCCCTCCTTCATTATCTTGTTTTTAACCCATTGTTGGCTCCCCTGTCACCATATGGAAATGACAGTGTTGATGAGATGAATCTGTATATTAAAGCCTAGCTGACATTAGAATTTGCATAATGTGTCATGGCCCAAGGGCAATACCTGCCACCTTTATTTGCCTGTAGACCTACGCCCCATCTTATGAAGCTTTATCACATATAAACGGAAAAGCAGTCTAACGTCAGGATTTTAGTGCAGCAAATATTTCTAAACGACACACGTTACACAACAAATCATTAAATTTTAAATTTTGTTTGACAGTTAAATCAAAAATGCATTATTTATTTTTTTCATTTTGTTTCACCATGGTTTTCTTTTTCTGACCCACAGATAAGGATGAGCCGTCCAGCTACATCTGTACAACCTGCAAGCAGACCTTCAGCAGTGCCTGGTTCCTGCTTCAGCATGCCCAGAACACTCATGGTATCCGCATCTACCTTGACAACCACTTAGCCAACTGCTCCCTCACTCCCCGCATGGCACTGCCTCCTCCCCCAGGAGTGGACGCGCTGCCCCGCTCCCCTCTCCCCACTTTCCTCGGTGACACCAACAACCCATTTCACCTCCTCCGCATGGCTGCACCCTTGCTCAGGGAACACCCCCATCCTCAAGCATACATAGAGACCCGGCTGCCAGCGACACCACCCTTTGTTAGTCCTCCACCTCCCCCTAGACCCCCTCTAGAGCGGCTGGGCCCAGAGGAAATGGGGCTGCTGTCACAGCACCCCAGTGCCTTTGAGAGGGTGATGAGGATGACCCCCATGGAGCCTCCTCCCATGGACTTCTCCCGTCGACTGCGAGAACTAGCGGGCAACCCAACCAATAACGGCGGCCCTACACCTCCTCTCTCACCGAACCGTGTGCCACCCATGCACCGTCTGTTGAGTCCGACACTTTTTCAGCCTGGCGCCAAGCCCCCGGCATTTCTCACCTACGCCCCCCAGCCGCCCACCTCTCAGGGGGGACATGGCTCCTCCAGCCCTCCAGACGTTCAGGGCCAGAATCAGGCCCTGGGAAAAGCCAAATCCTGTGAGTTCTGTGGCAAAGTATTCAAGTTCCAGAGCAACCTGATCGTCCACAGACGCAGTCATACCGGAGAGAGGCCGTACAAATGCCATCTGTGTGATCACGCCTGTTCACAGGCCAGCAAACTGAAAAGGCACATGAAAACCCATATGCACAACAAGTCCGGGAACATGACGGACTCTCCGGAACAGGAAAGTAGAGGAGAGGGAGGAGAAGGTGAGGACAAAGGTAGAGAGGGAGATGTACGAGCAATGGAGCTGGAGAATGAGGAGGAGGAGGAGGAAGAGGAAGAAGAAGAAGAGGAGGAAGAGGAGGAGGAGGAAGAGCTAAGAGACGGAAGTAGACCAGATTCCAACTTAAGTGAGGACTCCCAAGAATTCAACCAGAATAGAGAAAACGGCCCAAGACAGCCCCATGAAGATAAACCACTAAGTGGGGACAGAGTTAATGACAATGCAGGGGTGGGCATCATGCACCCCTACAACCACATGGACAATCATCTTAGACTGAACCCTAAGAAGAGAAACATGGAGAGACAACCCAATGGAGACGGTGGAGAGAGGGTTGAGGCAGAAAGAGAGAATGAACGAGAATCAGACCGAGAAAGAGAGGAGCAGCGGGAGGCAAGGCCCCTGATGAATGGCAGGATCACTGTAACTGAAGCAGAGTCTTTTCCTGGGCTGTTCCAGCGTCGGCCCACTCCTATCACCAGCCCGAGCCCGTCAAACAACAAGAGGATCAAGATAGAGAAAGAACCTCTGGAGCTTCCACCAGCCATACCCCTCATCTCCCCAGAAAACGTTTACTCTCAGCTCCTGGCTGGCTACGCTGCTTCACGCCACTTCATCAGAGAACCTTTTTTAGGATTCACTGATTCCCGTCAGTCCCCCTTCGCCACCTCGTCGGAGCACTCCTCCTCAGAAACGGGGAGCCTCCGCTTCTCCACCCCACCAGGGGAGCTGATGGAGGGCGGCAGCATTTCAGGCCACAGCGGCAGCAGCACCCCTCACCTCCTACGGGGACCCGGACCTGGTCGGCCGCCCAGTTCAAAAGACAAGCGGAACGACACCTGCGAGTACTGCGGCAAGGTGTTCAAGAACTGCAGCAACTTGACGGTCCACCGGCGCAGCCACACGGGGGAGAGGCCATACAAGTGTGACCTGTGCAGCTACGCGTGCGCCCAGAGCTCCAAGCTGACGCGCCACATGAAGACCCACGGCCAGTTTGGGAAGGAGGTGTACCGCTGCGACATTTGCCACATGCCCTTCAGTGTCTACAGCACGCTGGAGAAACACATGAAGAAATGGCACGGTGAACATTTGATGGCCAGTGAGGTCAAATTGGAGCAAGCGGACAGAGGTTAAGCCAGAAACATATATTATAAAGAACAGAGTACACACAAACATCTCTTCACACACACACACAAACATAGAAACACTTACATTCTCACACAAAATCCCTACAACCACTTCGTCAACAATGGGGCTTCGCTGGATTGTGTTTCTCTAGAAAACGAGTTTAAGATTAATTGATGTTTATCTTTCTTTTTCTTGTCACAAAAACTGCCACCTGAGAATATTACCAAATGGAAACTTTAATAATATTTTGTCTGAAATGCCCAACTCTGTGTTTCATGGCAAACAGTTGGAGGATTTTATCTGTTAGGAATCCATGGAGCCTTTCTACTGTGCAATAATTTCTGTATTTATTGGATTTTTGTAATGATATTTGGCATGTGCAGGTACATCTTTGTGGGATTTCATATGGAGATAKTTTTGAAATGTTCTAAAATGTTTTTCTTTTTCTAAAATGCTACAACAGAGAAGACGTCGCCATTGAAGCATTTTTTTCCTCTAAGGAAACTTGTTATCCTGTGAGAGTAAATTTGTGTAAAGCAGTTAGCTTTTAAAAGTAAAAGAAAAAAATTGTTACCTGCAGCAGCGGACTACAATCCATTCCCTTACACAGGCCTAAAGCACTGAATGTCAAGCCTGACAATAAAACACCTTGTTGGATTTTAAAAATCCAACATTATCTGAGAGATTTGGTAACTTGGTTTTAGTTTATTCAGGGAGTTGTGTGTCCTTTTTTTAAAGAAAAAAATGGCCAAATTAGAGCAATTTCAAAATGCAGTTACTGTATTTCTGTCCTTGCTGCAGACAGGACATAAATAAAGGTTGCACTTAATGGAGATACCCTTAACTGACGCTCGGTACATTCCTAATGTAGGATTAAACCACCATATTTAATATGCTGAATAAGTTAAGACTACTTGTGATTAATTAATGTGAGAAGGAGAACAGTCCTTTTTATGGTTTGTAAATATATTCTTTTTTATATGTTAAAGAAGCCCTGACTGTACATGAAAGATGGCCTAAATCTAAACAATCAAAAAAGAAAAAAAGTATACAGCTGCTCGCATCATCCACAAGTATATGCTACATGTAACTGCCAAGACATTATTTGTTTAAAAAGCCCATCTGATTACCTCTAACATAAACCCATTTCATGTGCTTAAATTTATGTTGAACAAAAGCTACTTCACTTTCTAAATGATTCCCCATCTCCTCCTCCTTGTGTCTGATGTGGCAAGTCTCTGTGACTTCCTGTGTCACCTAAAGACATGCTCCCCCGCCACCCTATCAAAAAAAAAAGGGGGGGGGGGTTAAAATGAAATTTTATATCAATATGTGTTACCACGTGTTTTTCTTCCCTTTGCAGCATGCTCTAAGCTGCTCTCTGACGGTGTCTTTTCACAGTTCACCAACTCAGATACTTGCATTAGAGCAGCTTTTAAAAGGAAGCCTGTTCGTTCGCCTCACACAGTGATATGGGTTTAACTCCGTTGCAGATTTTGAGACAGTGTGCCTGTTCGTGTCTTTCGGGGATTACGTTATTTTTTATTTTTCTATATATTTTTTTGATTTTCTGCATCGCTCATCCCTAAATGAATCTGGTGCAAAGAATAAAAAAAATAGAGGGGCCATATGAGTTATGATAATTTGAGCACAGCTGCACTCGGGGATGGCCGAGCGACCTTGAGCGGGGGCTATTCTTATAGCAAAAATAAAAAATAAAAAAAGAAAGGTTGAAGCTGAGAAATGAAGATGTGTCAGAAACGGAGAGTGCAAGACCTTGACTAGGGAGAATAGTCATTCAAATGAAATTGGAAGCATATGAAACATGATTTTTTTTTTTTGGGTACTAAAATGCACATCTACTGGCCACATCTTATAACAGACCTTCAGAGTGAGACAGAGTGAGCGTGAGAGGGAGGGAGACAGCAAAGCCACATGAAAAGGGAGAAGAAGACTACATCTTTCATTTTCGCACTGCAATTCTCAGCCATTGAAATTGTAAATCACTTGAAAGTTTGACCTGCTATTTTGGCCCGTTGCTAAGTATTATCTGAACCACTTTGACGGAAAAAAAAAAAGCTGGGCTTTAAATGCACATTTTAGATAATCTGAGAAAGACAATTTGGGGAGTCTAGAGTGCTCTATAAGCTATGTAATTATATTTTAGTGAATTAACACAAAACTGGCTTTGAGGAGCTTGCTTAAATACAGTAAAGTACGAGTGCAAAAAATAAAATAAAAAAACAAAGGTGCTGGTTTAAACATACGGTGAATTATTTCCCCGTTACAGTGAGGCTATGGAACCACGCTCAAACAGTGAACAGTGGAAACCTCACAGAGACCCAAATCATATGGACATTCAGTCTTACAATATGTTTACAGTGTTGAAGTACGCCATTAAAGAAATACTCGGTGTATTTAAAATGTTTTTTTTAAGTATTTGTTTTTCACCAATTTTCTCTTGGATAATGCCATTACAAATTTTTGTATGATTTTCCTGGTGGAGGGATTTTATCTATACATCTGTATGATTGTTCACTGTATGGATTAATTTTTTTTTTTGTAATGTCGCAGAATAATGTCAGATTTTTTTTTAATGTTTTATGACAACAATGGTGCACATTCTTGACTCCAGGTATTTTTTTCTTTATTTTTTTCTCCCTCTTTTAAGCTATCCATGGATTTAAAGCAACATTATTAGAAATGGGCAATTTAAATAAAAAAGAAGATTTTTGGCAGGGGAATACAGTAGTTTTGCGCAGGAATCGTTTTTTTCCCTGGTCATTTTTACAAGACTTTTGTGGACATCACGTTTTGCCGTCTTTTCCTCATGATTGGTTGAAGATCTTGTCATGGCACTTAATAACTGTAATTTTGAAAACATTTTCATATCTCACTTTTCACAACTTTCACTTACACTCTTTGTACAAAATAGTTTTCTTGTTCTTTTTTTTTTTGAGGAGCGTACGGGGAGTGCATCATTGTGAAAAAAAGTGTTTTCAGAACAGTACACATCTGCTGTTTTGAACATATATGTATTTTTGTAATGTGTTGAAAAATCAATACAAGAAAGCCAACACTTCAATAAATGTTGCAATTGCTCTATGATTGAACTTGCTTTTTAAGTACAATTATTTCCTTTTTTTATTCTACCGGAAAATTTCACACTGCAACAACGGCCAGTAACACCAAGACTCAAAATCAGTACAAGAGATACCGTTTATTAAAACAGTTACATACTGATTTAAAGTTTAGCAACAATTAGAAAATCATGCAAATTAATATAAAAAAAATGAATCAATCTATGTTCTCTGAAACTTGAGCAGGTACAGCGTGAGTCAAAAGTCACAGGACACCCTAATTTTTTCAAAAACAAAAGGAGAAATGACATACATAAATTCCCCGGCAAGTAACAGGTGAGGAAGCTATCTTTGGATAAAACTTGCCCTTGATCCGATATCGCGGTTTTCAAAATGGCGGCCATGTTTTGGACAGAACCTAAAAGATATATATCCACCCCTTCACCCATTATTGGGGATTCAGATGTTTCATTTTCTCTTTTGTTTCTAAGATAAAAGGCTGTCCTGTGACTTTTGACTCACCTGTACTTCCCTTACACTTGCATTTGATGATTTACTGAGAAATAGGGACCACAGTTTGATTTGGAAACCTAAAACAATAATTTATATTTGACACATTTAATATTTTAAATCTGCTAGTTACTCATCAAACCTGTAATTTTAACTTAAAACACCACCACAACACTTAGCTTGATGCTTTCTACAGTGACGTGACGACGTGCAGGGTCAGGGTGAGCAGGTGCCTATTTGCACTGGTCAGTGAACAAGAGATACAATCCACCCTGGACAGGTCAATAGTCCACATGGACCATGTAGAGATAAAAAACCATTCAAATATGCTCACACCTTGGGCCAAGTTAGATTCATCAGTTAAACTGACGCACACATTACTTTGGGAAGAAACTTGAGCACCTGGAGAAAATCCACAAATGCTTGCGGACAGGCTGCCAGGACTTTCTTGCTGTGAGGTAAAAGTGCTAACACACTGATCCACCATGCAGTCCTGAAGTGATTACCTTGCTTATCTGGGTCTAAAAGAAGATCCAAGATTTTTCTTAAATTTAATCTTTAAAAAACAGATTAAAAACCAATTTCATAAACTGCATCTCAAAAATGAATAAAAAAAAAATAAATCAACTGAACTGTTTTTACCAGGTGTATGTGTCTTCTCCCACAGTCCAAACACATGTATGTTAGGTTAACCGTGTGTTCATTTTCTGGGTGTTTCTGGACCTGTGACGAAACAGCGATCTGTCCAGAATGTACTCAAACACCGCTGACTGTCGACTGTAAGCATAATTGCAGACATTCTCAACATTTAAAAAAAAGATATTCTGAGGGTGGGTTACAGATTTCTTTAGATGTGCCAACACAAAAAGATAAATAAATAAAATAAACAACAACAACAACAAAAAAAAAACGATTTCACATTTGGAGGTCAAAATCACATGACTGAGGAAATCTCTACATCTTTATCTAACTTGATTTGTACACATATGCTGCTTTTTAGTTAAATTTGAGTAAAATTACTTTAGTTGAGTTGCGTAAAACGTTTCACAAGTTGTAAAATAACATTAGAAATTGCAGCTTTCCTAATTTGACTTAAGAAAGCAATGACATCATTACTATTTGAAGAGAACCTAATCTGGTAATCAAGCAGTCAGATCATCTGACAGACTTATCTGAAATAAGCTTTACTTTTTAAGATGAATAACAAATTATACATCACAATGATGACAAATATCTGTTTTCTACCATTAAGAAGTGTCAACACACAAGGCAAGAAAAGGTCAATTTTATTGTTCCTGAAAGACTATTTGTATTATTAGTGCTAAAATTATAAATATACTCTACATTAAATATATGTAAATTACAATGCATTTCACACAGATCGGAGAAATAAACACATTCTTCAACATCATTTACTTGTACAGTCACAAATAGGGAAGCAGCGTGTTTAAATCTGAGTGTTTGCTGACGCTGACAGCAAGATGAGTTTTTGGGTTTTTTAATTTAACGAAATGGTCAATCACTGATGAATCTGGTTTGGATGGTAATATTATTGATGCACAGTTTAACAAATGATTTAGGCATTACTTGATAATGACCAGAATATTGACAATGGGACAAAGAAAGAAATGCATGTCTCAACCATTTATCTTGTTAAAATACTGACCAAATGGTTCTCATTAGGCTGCTGTAGTTAGAATAAGAAATGTTATAATTTAACCCAAGACCTCAATTTACTGAGTAAAGTTATTCTCTGAAACCACAGCAATCCCTGAAGTGTCTGCTGCCATTACAGTTAAGTAGCATGGCAAACTAGCTAAATCATCTCCTTCTACTGCTTATCTACCCAAACGTCCCTCTTCCCACAGATATTTCAAGCTCCTCCTGGGGTATTTCACGGTGTTCCCAGGCCAGAGAGGATAAATAATCCCTCCAGCAAGTTCTGAGCCTTCCCTGAGGCCACTTCTGGGACAAGCTATGAAAATCTGGAGGTACCCTACCCTAATTAGATGTCTGAACCACCTCAACTGATTCCTTTTGATGCAGAGGAGCAGCGGTTCTATTTCAAGTTCCCCCATGAAAGACGGAGCTCGTTTCCCACGTTATTTTCACGTTATTTTCAAATATGTCAAATCATCTGAAGATAATGAGCTCCTTCTGAACAGTTTGTAATGGTTACTGTGAACAGAGCTTAGAGTTGTGTTACTGTTGAGACCAGAGGCAAGTAGAGTACCCAAAAGTTATATATATGATATTTCATATTGCTCAAGTAAAGAAAAAGCATGGTGTAATAAAACTACAAGATACTCAGGTAACCTTTGGTTGGGATGGTAGTAAATTCTAGTATTTTGGACCTGTTCTTGACTTCAGTATGCCTTGTTAATCTAATCTTAATAATTTCAGATTGGGGCCCACTTTGGAAAGYTAAGGTTATTTTTGCACTTTTTTCCCCAAGTTAAAGTTGTCACTACTAAAGTAACAAAGAGCTACAGTAAATACAGATAGAATTAGATTGAAAATGAAACAAAATAAAATCTCAGTTCTGAGGACTGCGTGTTTTTCATTATTGCAAAAAAAAAAAAATTAAAAAATACCCACATCAGTAAATATAGTAAATTACTTGAATTTGCCTGGTTATTTCAGAAGCAGAGAACAGCCTTGACTGTACTTATTATTCTGATAGGATACTTTGGAGCTCTTGAGTAGACTTCTCTGTTATCTCTAAACAACCAAACTACTTTTAGCACATTATAAGGAAACATCAGTCTTTTGTTTTATTGAGATAACGTTCTCGTAACAACAAAGAGCGTTTGCAAGATGATTGTCGTCTAAAAAAATTAATTTGATTTGATTTATTGATTCAACACGAAAAGATTACTAAAAATCAAGCCTGACTCAGTATAATTGCTGTTTTAGAGCAGGTTCCTCTTCTGCAGCACATAAACACTCAGAATTACAGCATCACAATCACATCATTATACACCATAGACACAAAGAAAAACAAGCATACCAAATTTGATGAAGGCAGCATTTGCAAAATAGGACGTCTAGATATGAGCAAAACAAAAAGTGTCCAGCAGATGGCAGACAAGATTCTTCTTAAAGGGCTGTAGTTTTGAAATGGACTTTATGTTTTGAGGAATGTCATTC